AAAGGCCTTTGTGGCTTTTTTTGTCTACTGGATATCCCTCTGTTCCGTGTTTATGAGAGCATATAGGGGCTTTACAAGTAAACCATAATTACAAACCCAAAGTCTGGACCAGCCCGTCATTCCCAAGAATGTTCTGAGTTCTTTCACAGTCTGAGGTTTYGGGCTCTGGCAGATGGCTTCCTTGYGATCCTGCCCCAARCTCCTTTGTCCTGCACTGATCTTYCCGTGCSGTGGAYGYACTGGAAGCGSGGTTCTTCCAGGGAAAAAGACCTGGCCCGTGCCAAAGAGTCCCGATTSTGGCCAGCCCCCGCACCGGACAGAGGTTCTCCTGGCTGGCTCACCAGAATGATCCAAAAATGATCTGGGCAAGACTCTGCAACTTATATAATTTTAAGTTGTGAAGTAGGTATGATTATTGCAGCGCTGGGTGTGCGGGGGGTAGTCCTCAAACCTGTGCACACCCCCAGCACGGTATGGCTTGGTATATATTTGGTTTCATGTTACACATTCACCAAGTTTCGAAATTTGCCTATACATATGCATGACCAATCYCYGCTTCATATTATAATGAGTTCAAAAGTCATTTCCAACTGCTCATGCCTGTGCAGTGTTATTTGGTAGTGGGCTCTGGGGGTCTTGGGAGGAAGTAAAATATTCATCCTCTTGTTTTGAACTTTTCACCTTTCTGTCTTGGGCGTGCTCTCYGAGTCCCTGGCCCAAGTCCAAACAACARCTCTGGTTTTAGCCAGYGTAGGGGGTCCACAAATACAAGCTGGGTCACAGTCCCTGCTTTTGTCAATAATCTTTCACTTCTCATTCTGCTTTGACCAACACAATAAATGTTAAGTAAGCAATATACAGTGTCTAGCAAGCAGTTAGTAATATATACTTGTTTAGCAAGTAGTTTCTAACAAGTTATCCCTTAACTTCTAACTTCCCTGCATCACTACACCTGTTGGAAGGCTGCTAGCTGTTCGCACAGCACACTTCAGGCTCCTCTGTAGGGAGACACTAACCAGTCATTGAGCCTRGCTTTAGTGACTAAAGTAAATGAAGCCTTAGGCCATGTGAATTGTTTTTTAACCAGGAAATGTAAACGGTAGATAAGAAAGCATAAGCAGTACTTTAGCTACAGGTTTTTCTGCCACAAAAAATAAGGAAATGTCTCAAGACAAAGGGGTGCCTGGAGGCTGTGGGAGCAAATSAGAAGAGAAGACCCCAGACTCCATGAACAGGACTGGATGAACTGTACCATCAGGGTATCAAGCAGCCTACAGAGGCTGTAAAATCCACTGACAATCGACGGGGGTGGGGGTCTCTCTTCAGCAGTTCCTGGCCTGATCTGGAATTACAGTAACATATTACACATAGTAGAAGAAACTCCATTTGATTTTTTTATTTAAGTGAAACCTAGGGACAAGCGCTTTTCAAGTGGCATCCACCTAATGGCTATCACAGTGGAGATGGTCACTCATTCCTATGCCATCTTCCAGCATCCAAGCTCTAGCTCTAGGCTGTCCAGGAGAGGAGCAACATCTCTCCAATAAGGATTTCTCACTTTTTGAGTATGGAAATGGCTGAAAGTGGAATCCAGAGAAAAAAGGAATTAACGTAAGAAAGATCTAAAGAGAAACACTTCTCACCTTTGTCAAGTCCCATTAAAACCTGTAAATGTTTGTTTGTCTGTGTGTGTATGTGTGTGTGTGTGTGTGTGTGTGTTCTCCTGGGTGCTCATAATTGAAGAGAAATCCAAACACTGGAGATTATTATCAGGAGCAGAAAGAAACCAAAGTACCAGTCTTTGTTAAGACACATATTGTTAAGACACATATGGTTAGCACAAGAGATACAAAGAAACAAAGTATTTATTGTTAAAAGCTTTTCTAGGAATCAGTCGCCATCATACAATGGATATCATGGCTACAGAGTAGAGAGAGGCCCTCTCCCTTCCCCCCATTCTTTACACACATTTTTGCTCACTCTCACAAACCCACAGTTGTATTTTTAAAATGGAGTTCCTCTCTTCAATGAGTTTGGAAAATATGTTTATAATACAGGATCYGGCAGAACAAATACATCCAATTAAACAACAGAGCAGTTACAGAAAGGAGACCTCTTTCTTCAGGAAAACAAAAGCCTTATTTTCCTCCACATCTCTTTGCATCGCCATAAAAGGGCTCTCCACACCAAACCAGACCAACAAATCCCAAATACCTGATAAGCATTTGGCAAAAGTAAGAGCCCTAGGATATGCACCTACATTGATTTATACACTAATATTTCACTTGGCTTCCACAGATTAAGTACTAAACAATGTGGTGTAAAAAACCTGCCAGCCGAGACCGTGTCTGCACTACAGCTACTAACCCTGGTTTGTCAAACAACCAAATCCTTGCTGGTAACAGTGAAAATGTTTTGACAGTGTGTCTCAAAGTTATTTGCAGAACTTTTGGTTCTGTCCTTCACCCCCATTTCCCAGGCTACACACCGAGACCGTCTCTTCCAGGTGCTCTCTTTATGTACGAATACACAGATGACCCAGAATGCACAGACTCACATGGACTGTGCTACTTCCAAGAGTACTCTGCATGTTATCTTGTGCTGTGTCTTACTGGCACTTCAGTGGCATTCTGCTCCATTTTTTTTTTCCTTTCTCACTGTTGTATTCTGCTCTTTATTCCATAACTGAACATTTGTTTCCTCTTCAATCTCTAAGAAACATTTGATCTGATTTCTGCCTCATGGTCAACAACCCAAATGACTAAAAAAAAACCTGACTCCAACCTGCGATGTCAACACTTCAGCTACACTATCTATTTCCCTCCTACTGGTACTCCAGAATTCTGTTGAAACCTTTCCTGGCTTGATGCTCTATTTTCTAACAATCTATATAATCACCTATACATTAATTACTTCTATGCATAGAATGCTTTTTTGCACTATGCATAGATTTGTATTGTACTGAAGACCCTGAAACATCTTCATCTTTTATGCACCCAAAAAGACAACCACCTTGAACTTAAAATTAATTTCCCATTCACAGTCTACCATAATTACCTGCCTGTTCAATGCCACCAGCTTTCACTTTTGAAATGAAAGCATGGCCAAGCAACACTTGTTCTAGCTGCTTCCAGTACTGCTCCATTATTTCTCTTCAAATAAAATTTCTCTTTGTTTTGCAAACAAGCAAGCTCTTAGCTGCACTCATGAAACAAAGGACAATTTTTTTTTTCTGTGTGTCTTTAGCAAAAGGCCCAAACTGTTCCTGAACACAGGAAAAAGGCATCAGAATCTCAATCCCCAGCTTAACCAAAGGAGAGACCCCTGACTGCTCTTCCTAAGACTCACTGTTGGTGACCAGTCTTTTTTTATAGACAGTGGGATATTAGAATTTAGATTCTAGACTGCTACCTCTAGTGGCCGATTCACGTACACACATTTCAGGATAACACTGCTTAACACAGCTTCAGCTTTCAGTGATGCAGTTGTGAACACTAAGCACCAACACCACATTGGTTTTGTTAATTTGCTCTGAAAGAGACCTGGAACCAGATCCATCCAATTAATTCTACAGAGRCTCCAAAACCAGGCTGGACTCCAGTATGTTGCCAGCTGTGGCAAATGACTGGTATTTCTCTCAAATATTTGCCACTTCAGCGGGAAGGCTCTCAAATCCCAGAATTCCCTGGCAGACATTTTGCAGGCATCTCAGTCCCRTGCCCTTCTCACATCGTTGCACGTTTTTCTCTGCATTTCTTATTCCTGCAGACTGAACCTACCCCCTGAATGTAGCTGCTCTGTTTGCCACGTACAGACAAGAGTTTTACACACTGAACAGCATGCACACAACGGACACAGCAGCAGAACAAATATGGAAGCACAGCAACAGATGACCCCCGCTGTTTTCTCCTCAATGCTTGCATTGTAGTCCAATTAGTGGAGTCCTAAATTAAGTAACAGTTCAAGTCAATCACTGTGGCAGCCTCACAGCCCCTCAGTATAACCAGCTCAAAACTGCAGGTTTTCACATTTTACTGTGAAAAGAGGTTTTAACACAAAAGAGAAAATTCGTGATGAAGCCACTGACAGTAAAGGCCTCAGGCAATGAGGTACTGCCATACTTTTTCTCACACCAACAGGTTTTGCATGAGAGTACTGCCATCACCATGTAAATGCAATCAAAAGTAAATTTTCCAAGACATCTCTGAACACAGTGGACAGAGTAAAAGCTATGGCACCATTAATGTGAAAACAAAGATATTAAATAAAGGGCTAAAGAGAAGACTGTCTCTTCTGTGACTGAACAGAAGAAACTTCTAAGTTAAACTACAAAAGAGATTGGCAAAGACAGCAGAAAACACAATACCAGAAAAAAAATGCATTTATTCAGAAGAGCTGCCTTCCTTCCATACCACATATGAATTTGATTCTCTTTCCAAGGAAGTGAAAGAAAGAAGGTGAAAAGGATTCTGAGTGCCATATCAAATGGACAATTATACTTTGGCAGCTGCTTTTTGGACTAGAAATCATGTTGGGCCTTTAATKACAACTCATCTATGCACTACAAAAATGAGGAGGGGAAGGATTTAAGGAAGATGTTCCTGCTTCCAAGTAATTGTTTTATAAATTCCCATAGTCTGAATTTGTCGAACATTTACAAAGATGATATCCAGGGGATATGTTCCCTGCGCTCTTTAAGGCTGATAGTGCTTTATAATTCAACAGCATCTAATATAACCAGCACATATCATGTATGGGAGAGCTAAACAATTCATACTAAGAGGCAGTTCACCTATGACCAAAATGGGAGACCAATCCAGGGACTCTGTTAACATCTTGAAGTAAAGRAAAAAACTACAATGTTTCATTAAGTTAAGCTTCTTGGATTCTGCACCAAGAATTAGGACGTTCTCTTCAGTGATGAACCCTATAGGCACATGGAGAAACATTTAAGTAATCTGGTATTTTACATATATACTTATTGTTAATATSWKCTGTGTTAAAGGCAGSCATCAGCAAAGCACCATTACRYTATTTTCATTTTCTCAGAATGCCTCATATGTTGCCAGTACCACTGATATTAAGGATGCATAAGAAGCTCTTATTACAGGGATGATTCTCTTTCTCTCAGTACAGTATACCAAYTAGAGCCATCTAGTGATATGTGATTCAATCTACCTTTCACTGCTGGGACAAGGGGAAGAGAAATTATTTGCACCTGGAAAGAGATGCCCTGACTATATGTCTTTCTTCTAGTCRGGCTCTGTGTTCCAGGATGAAAATCCTCCTAGGTTGTTCTTTCAGATGGTGAGATAGCTTCTTGCATTGCTCTGGCTGGAATAAACACTGTATTCAGGAATCTGAAGCATTCCACATTTATAAGAAAGACTGTCTTGTCTAATTCCAGGAAAGTTACTGTTTGAGACTCTTGGGTACCATAGAATAAGAACTGCATACATTTCTCTAAATCTGTAGTCTCCTAGAACACCTATCTCAACCTCCCCCATCAGTGCCACCCACGACTCTAAGCATAGCCCATTAGGATTTGCTGTGTAGTGTCTAACTTTCCACTAAAACTTAACAATGTGTGTTGATGAGTGAACCTTCAGTCTTCTTTCACAATGACACTTGTATGGTGCTGTCTCTGGCTTAAAATGGTTTGAGACACCTGTCATAGGCAAGATTTTCAAGGGTCACTCTAAAGCTGGTGTTCTGATTGGTGTGTTGATGGTACATTCTCATCCAGTCAGGAAGCAGGTCCATGTGTAACAGTGAGCTAAGTAACACTGAAAAGTCCACTGGTTYGGTGGTYAYGATGCCAAAGGAATCTTGTGAGCAGCACTTATGTGTTACGCACTCCCAGAGATTGTTCCAATTCCTGTCGGCGCTGCTGGATCTGAAAGAAAAAGACACACTATAGCTCAGCAGATTCCATTGCTCAGTGGCAGGAGACACGTTTATCAGTCAGCAGTGTGGATATTTCCTTCATACCTTGCAGTAGAAATATCTGCTTACAGCTTCTTGAGACCAYGGCTCATGATAAAATTCAGCTCTGCGTTCTTCCTCTGGGTTTCCAACTACATCGGTCATGACCTGTGGCAAAAATAAAATCATTTTCCACCACAGCTCTTCTACCACATAGGGAAACTTTCAGATTTACCTGGAATGAAAGTTCATCTACATTACACATAAAAATGTTCAGAACTGTTCCCAAAGCCCAAAGCAAATGGACAGTGTGTGCTTACTGCCAAAACAGGATCATAGAATAATCAAATGGTTTGTGTTGGAGGGGATTTTTAAGTTCATCTCGTTCCACTCCCTGTCATGGGCAGGGACACCTTCCACTAGAYCAGGTTGCTCCAAGCCCTGTCCAATCTGCCTCCAGAGACAGGGCAGCAGGGGGTTGGAACCATTCCATAAAACAATAGAATTCTGATGATCATGTCTCCAGGATCACAGAATCACAGGCAAATAAAGTTATTGTCRTATTTTGCAAAGCAGTGCTGTAGAATCACAACTCTGATGCCAGCAGGGCAGAACATTATAGGAAAAGCTCTTATGGGACTAGCTGTCAGTCTGGGAAAACTCTGACCAACTATTCCATGTATATAACTAGAGAAGCTCCACAACACCATTGTTTGTAAGTTCCTCAAGTCAAAGTCTGCTTTATTTAAACATTCTTTCAGATGTCTGTCCTCTTCAAATAAAATATAATAACCATAATCTTGACAGTAAATTTTTGGAAGACTATTGATTTAACAAACTAGGCTTTTATATAAGAAAGACACAAGGATTTTATTAAAATAATTTCATGGATTCACTAATACAACTGATACAACTACATCTTAGTTGAAGACAGAAAATGTGAAACTTTATGAAGAACAAATTATTCATTTTTGCTAGCAAACAATTGAACTTCTTTACRTTCTATTTATTGCATATCTCAAAGATAAGTTCAAGGACAGCGGGTAAGATTAATTGATGAACCAACAAAACATCCAAATTGTGTTCTTGTACTGTAGGATGCTCCCGCTGAGTTTTACACAGCTTTGATTTTATAGAATACATCAACAAAGCCCTGCATTTCGATCTTACTGCCTGGCCACAAACTGACCTACCACTCACATGAAACACCACTGTCCCACTAGAACTAAAATACCACCTAAACTATCTTTCCTGCATACCATCTCCTCTAGGATTACAGTATTCCATTGTCTGACTTCCACCAATTATCCATCCTGAATGTTTGGCTATACACTCTATATACATTAAGATAAAATTCTTCCATTCTGGTTCCACTATTCATTCTTTTTCAAACCTTAGCTCACCTTAAGATCCCTACTTTGGGACCGGAGAAGGTCTTGGATGTATCCTTTGGGATCCTTGGAAAAACTCAGCATGAAATCACGTTGTATTTTTAGCTGATTTATGGACTCAATTGTCTCATGAATCTGACAGAAAAAAAACAAGGCAGATATTCTTTAATTTCTCCCATGCTCCAGTGACCCTCTCAGCTCTATTACTATCTTTGTATTTCTGGCAATCTACAAAGGTGATAATTCTACACCAYAGACTTGTGCAGATTCCTAGGGCTTTTCCAATTGAAAAAGCAGCGTAGAGGTGGCACAGACATGGRAAAAAGTGAGTGGGACTGGACACAGAGTAACCCTATGCATGCTGCTTGCAAGTTTATATTGGCTGGGAAACATCTGACTGARCAGCTGTCCTGCTGAAAAGGACCTCCCTCAAGAGCCATGATAAGCAAGATGCTGCAACAGTTACCAGAATCCACTGCATTGCTAGTTCCCAGACCYCCTTTAAAACTGTATGAAGACCAGAGTTTAACATAATTTGTTTGTATTAGAAGTATACAAAGAGAATCTGGACCTTGGTCTAAGAAAGCACTTTGGTTTATCGCTTACCAAGTCAAATTCAGCCATGGGCACATGCCAGAATGGCTAACAGCCCCTAGGACGTGAAACCCTAAAATAGGCTGCAAAGCCCACCACTGCCTTAAGACAGATATCATTATTTGAAGTGCACACGATTCTCTTCCAGTAGCATTTGAAATTGCTAAACTGCTCCAAGTGATCCTCCTGGTACACATGTTCCGTATTTCCACCTAATGCAGAGAGCTGTTCTGCCGTTATGGATACAAAATCCACATCTCAGTATGAGATTCTCCTAGGTTTGGCTTAACAATTTAGCAAGGTATCATGATCTCTCAATAAAAAGTCACAGTCATACAGTTCAGGTGGTTCTTAAGTGTCAGGGATTCAGTACATTACCTGTGAAACTCTATCACCYCAACAACCGTGCCAGGCCCTGAATCAAATCCCAGGTGAGAATGCCATTCACCCCTATGCATTTCCACTGCATTTTGCTTCCTGTCTCACAACATGACTGTGTTTGACACATGACACCAAATCCACGTGAAGTTACACAATGAGAACATGTACCATGGGATACTTTACTCTTGGGCTAATACCTTRTTGTCCAATGCAGTAATCTCCTGTTGGTTAGCTGTTGAGAGAAGAAAACTACTCATCTGGCCCTTTAATGGGTCTTCAACTTCTACATCTATGTCATAACAAGCCGTCTTCTTCTGATCGTTGGGGTCAACACTATGGAGAGTATAACACAAGATCATGAGAACTGCCATAATGAATCAGAATGAGTATCCATCCAGCCCAGAATAMACTCTTCAGCAGAGCCTGTTGCAGATGCTGTGAGAAAAGTTTAAGAACTGCATATCTTTATATATTTTCATATTCCAGTATATACGCTCATCTTTTATTGGTCAGATTTCTTTTGAGCTGGAGTTTTTGTCCAGACCATCAAATTTAATTTCTAACATCCTACTGGGACCTCTTACACCAAATATCAGTATCACTCTTTGGCTTGTCCTAAATTTATATTTAATTTGCCGGCATTTAGACTTAACATTTACTTCATTGTTAGACTAAAGTTTCTTAACAAGAAAACAATTTTCAGTGCAGTAGTTGGTAAAACAGACTTCAGTCACTGTCACTTGCAATATAAAAATGTTGGTTTCTCAACACTACCTGTGAAATGTGTGGGTTGTGTGCCTCTGCAGTAGGTAGTAAAACAATGTTCTCAGGATCTAATTGAGCCTGACAGACTTGGGGGAGCAGAAGAACTTCCAGGGATGGATTTGCATTACTAGTGCTGTAAGCAGATGGAGGGAGGTGATCCTTCTCTGTTCTCAACACTGGTGAAGACACGTGAAGTACTGTGTTCCGTGCTGGGCTTATGTTCAGTGCAAGAGACATATGGAGCTACTGGAGAGAATTTTGCAAAGGTCCATGAAGATGATTAAGGCATTGGAGCACCTCACAACTGAAGACGGGCTGAGAGGTCTGGGACTTTTCAGCCTAGAAAACAGAAGGCTGGTGCGGAAGGAACTTACCAAAACTTGAAGGGAGAATTTAAAGAAGATAGAGYCAGGATCTTTTCAGTGGTACCCAGTGACAGGACAAGAGGCAGTTGGTGCAAACTGAAACACAGGAGGTTCCATCTGAACACCAGGAAACACATTTTTACTGTAAGGGTGACCAAGCAATAGCATAGGTTGCAGTAAGACTCTCAAAGCCCATCTGCCTTTCCCTCAGCCCAGAGTCTCTCATGTTGGAGACACTCAAAAGCCATCTGGACACGGCTGTGGCCAACCTGCTGCAGGTGGCTCTGCAATAGCAGGGGAGGACATTTGACCAGAGGATCTCCAGACCTCAGACACTCTGAGAATATGTGATGCTGTAGCCTTCTGCAAGAAGATCAGCAGCAGAAGGAAAGCTAAGGAAAACCCAGGTCTGGGTCTGGTTCTGCCACTCATGTGAAAAGCCACAGAGAAGGCTGTGGCTCTCCATGTTGTCTTTGGCTCCATTGCTCCTGGTTAAGTYCTGTYCTCAGGCCTTCCAGGGTCCTGAGCCCAAGTCAGTCAGGGCAGCAGGGCTGCTCACAGGGACCCTGACAGGCTGTAGAAACACAACGACATTTCAACACGCTAAAGTTCCGCACTGGAAAAGTTCTGCTCCTGGGATAGGATGACGCCGTGCAGGGGGACAGGCRGGSAGTGGCTGGYTAGAAAACAGGCTGGCAGGACAGGACTTGGAGGCCCTGATGGACAGACAACAAGTGSAGAMGGAGTCTGAGGGSTAAGGCAGCCATGGCAAAGGTCAGCTGCAAAAAGGGCTGTTATTAGTGCAGTTGTTGCCATCRAGCCCGGGAAAAGAGGCTCTKCCTTGCTAYGCCAYGCYRGTRAAACTGGATCTGGACTGGTGGGCACAGGACCACAAAGATGTGACACTCTGGAGTGAGGCCCACAGAGGCTCAGTAGGATGTCGGGGGCTGGAGSACTCTTGGAGAACWGTCAAGAGAAGCTACAAGAGCTTCTCCAGCCTGGARAAGAAAAGGGAAAAGGACTGCGACTGCCATATGAACTGGTGAAGCATAGACATGGCCAGCCTCCCCTTGGAGTTGTGTGAGATTAGGGTGAGAGGCAACAGAAACTCACTGCAGCATRGGCAATTCACTCCCTGGAAGGAATTAGTTTGYAAAAAATCATTATGGTAGTCAAACAGGGGGAATCCAGAGATAACCTTTTTGTACTAGAAGAATATTGGAGAGCTCTGCTTTGCAGTCTGCTTGCGTCCTGTTARAAGTGTAGAAGATGTCTTGCTTCTTTGCATAAATGGTTTGAGGTGTGTCAGCTGCAATTAGGAGTGCAACTCTAGAAAATCTCCAGTTCTGGCTTGAGCTCAGGTAAGAAGATTTGACTTCTACCAGTTTTAAATTTGATCCCCAGTATCATGGGGATCAGAAAGCACTACAGAATCTGTATTTCTAATTGCATTCAGGATGTTTTAGTCTACCTAATATTTAAAATATTTGCCAAGATCAAAGACCTTTTGTTCATCTCTACTCATACCCACTTCAACCCCATCACATTTTTTCTTAATTTTTTTCAAAAAGAGAGCTTGTTGGTGCCCAGACAGTGGTTCTACAATACTATTATAATTTCTAGAATGAGTTTAGAATACTTCACGTTTTTGTCTCTGTGCRTATCMTCTAAAACTAGAATGAATAATTGTSATCTACTCGATCTTCCTGTAAAACAGGCCTGAGGATTTATCTGAATTAAGAACACATATATTTACAATCACTAGTGATGAAAAATTTCCCAGTAGCAGTGTGCTGGTTTTGGCTGGGATAGAGTTTATTTTCTCCCTAGTAGCTGGTAGGGRCTGTGTTGTGAATTTGTGCTGGKAACAGCTGGTCACAGATATTTTCCTAATTTTGCTGATTGTTGCTTACAGCATATCAAGACCTTTTCAGCTCCTCATACCACCCACTGTCAAGGAAGCTGGGGCTGYACAAGGAGCTGGGACAGGATATAGCTGGGACCCTGCTGACAAAAGGGATAAGAAACCATGTGGCATCTTGCTGAGTAGTAAACTGGGGCAGGTATTCACTGCAGGGCATCTTAGTGAGTATCAGTCAATTGGTAATGAGCAATAGTTTTCATCCGTACTGCTTGTCTTGCTGGATTTCATTCATCATCATCATCATTTTTTATACCATCTTGATCTCAACTCATGAATTCTGCCCCTTGTACCTTTCCAAGGCTTCCCCCTGCCCTGGTGATGGGAAGTCTGAGCTGATTGGATTAAACCAGGCATATTGTTTCTGCATCTGACTACATTCACTCTGAAAAACTGATTGCAGGAGGGTAGGGAAGAATATCTGTGAGACTCTGTTTTAAGCTTGGTTGGACCAGGCCTCTAAGTATCATAGATAGACTTTGAACCTGATTTGAGTTTGGATGGGAGAGCTCTCAATGACCACCAGACAYCCCTTCTACTGTAAATCATTCTGTGACTTCATGAGTCTAAAAATTACTTACTTTCTTTAAATTCAGTGCCCGACTTCCACATTTATTTTAAATTTAGCCTGAGACTGTAAAGACTTCAATGCAGAASTAGTGCCTGATCTCAGGAAATTAATTCTTTTTTTTCCCACACTGCTGTATCAGAGAATGCTAGCAGATACAAAGTCCCATTCTAGTAGCTGACAGAACAGCTGGTACCTGACAAGAACACTTCCTCCAGAACCTTTTTGCCATCTCTCAGCCCTTGTTCAACTGATGAACATAATCATCAGCTCCTTGTCACTTTTCTCTAAGCAAAATGATGATACATCTCTGAGGATCTCAGCTTTTTTGTGAATTGTCAGACAAGTCACTGAGTTGTGTTCAATGACAGTACACACACAGTTCTCAATCTGTATGGCCACAAATAAAGCTGCTTTTTCACTACTCTGTTTGATATATTCAAATGAATCAAAAAGAAAATTTTATTTTCATAGCCTATGTAATATTTAAACTTCTTATCACATATGTTACAAGTTTAAAATAAAGAGCACAATTTTAAGCAAAATCAGAAACATTTGCTGTCAGTATTCTGCAGGATATCAAATCACTGTGCTTAAGTAACAATRATGTTTGAACACCCAGAATCAGAGGTTTGACCAAGACCACAAAGAAATTTGGAAAGAATCGAACTTCTGATCAGTAAAGTTGCAATCCTCATGAGGCTCTTCATCCCCCTCCTCCATGWACACAGTTGTCACTTAAATATGGCACATGCTAGAAGTACCCTAGAGAGCTGAAAGCTGTATTTCATCTGTTATGTCACAAAGACATCTGTTTTGACATGAATGCAAGAGCTCAGTATCTTGGTCTCAATGACCTCCTCTGAATCCAGGCATTCTTTGTTGTAAATCTCTGGAGATCCCTGATTCCTTGGCATTCTCAGGATATGACTAACAGCCAAAGGACTGACCCAGTCCCAAAAGAGCAAACATGGACTGGCCCTTCTTTTGAAATTGTAATGCTGTTGTACATTTTACATAATATATCAGTGATTAGAATGATTGCCCATGATATACAATATCTTATTTCAATTTCTTTTTTATCTCTTTTTGTGGGTTCAAACTGTCATTCCTCTGTCTTAGGGAAATAAACCCGACCAACTGTCTCAATGGTATTCTAGTAGGAATAAATATAAAAGCTGTTTGTCATACTCCTAGAAAATTGGTGCAGTGCTAGTGAAAATAATTCAGAATTATACAAACTAGAATGACACACAGAACGAGCACACAACATAGTCCAAGGTACTCACCTGGAAGTTATGAAAACTGGGCTCTGGTCCCTACAGCTATGGCAGCTGTTTCTGGACTTTATCTAGGGAGTGATTTGCACATGACAGTGCTGAGCTGACCAATCAGCTTACCTGATGATGTGGTTTATTACTATCGGGTCTGGTGGCAGCAGTAGGTTAGTGAGTCTCTGAGGAATTTCAGAAAACTTTAGCCGTGGACAGTCAAAAATCTGGAATACAATAAAAAACAAATGTTGTTTGTCTAAAGCCTATCTCACAGTTAAATGAGAAAGTAATAAATTTGAAGYTCACAAAGAACTGAGGCAATTAAGGAAGGTGATTTTGAAAGCTGTAATTCAGATTCCTTGCACAKATTAAATTTTTAGTCACTACTGCCCCATAAATTGCTGTTGTACTTACATCTGGGCTTGCAGACATATCCATCAGGTCATGACAATTTCAGGTGTCCCACTTTTGGTTTAGCTGCTSGAGGGCACAGGACACTCTAATGGGACATAAGGATCAACTCTACCAATGATGAGAGAGAAGCAAACACTCCCTCTCTTACTGAGGGTTTTCAGCAGCACATTGTAAAGAAAACTATTTTCCTTTTTTACCAGAGAAAACAAAAGAACAGTTTGCCTTTTTTCCCTCAAGGAATGTTTCCTGCGATATTTTGTGCTAAAGAAAACTACAATAAAACATTTCTGGATTTTAAAACCATTTGCAATTTGTAGCTTTTTTATGTTTAAGGAAAAATAAAGTCAATGTGACATTATTTATTTTTAATCAAAGCCTGAACAGCCTCTTGGAAGGGATCCACCCCTTTCCAAACAACAGTTCATGGTTGCCTTCTCTGTTCTATGGTCCAGAAGCCAAATAGAATCATAGACTCATAAAATATCCTGGGTTGGAAGGGACCCACAAGGATCATTGAGTTCAACTCCTGGCTCTGCACAGGACAACCCCAAAAATTACACCATGAATTTCTACTGAATTTAGAACAAAAAAAGCCTTCTGGAAAGGGTTAAAAGCTGTAGAGTTTGTTAATTTTCTGTGAGTAATTGCAGTGCATTGTCATGAATCTAGAAAAACACTCTTTACACCTACAGTTTTCAGAAATACAATTATTACAGCCTTTTTTTTCCTACTGGGATTTTTAATACTCTGAACATGTAGAAAACAGACTTTTCTCTAAAGATATTCCATTTAAACTGACCTTAAAAGCAAAACCTGAACTTTCCATATATTAACATTTGCCTTAAAATGTGCCTTTATGTGGAGGCAATTTGTAAAAATGTTCAGGCCTATGCAAATGCCTCTTAAGGAAATTAGTTTCACCTGATAGAAGAGACTACTACTCATAGCATCTATAAACARAAGCAAGCTTTGCAGCTCCAGAGACAAAGAGTGCAGGCAGGGTTGAGATGAAAGGACTATCAGCTCATAGAATAGACATACAAATAGACATCTGTGGTTCCTCAGACAGGGCATCTTTTGAAATCCACAGTTTTCTCAAGTGAGTGAATTTTGCAGCAGAAATACCTAGAAGCCAGCTCTGGCTTTTGAAATACCTTTGAATCTTTTTTCTTGCTTTGGCTTGTAACATGGTGGATTTCAAATCTCCCGCTGATGTAAACAGCGTTTTTAAACAGAAAAGGATCCATCTTCATCAACTCTAAAATCTGATTTGTTGGACTTGCCTGCATCCAGGAATTCAGCCAGCTAGTTTCTGAAGAACAAGGAAGTAACAAAACCTACTGAGTCTGCAGCTCACTKCTTGAGTTCTGAGTTCTGAGACTTGATAGAGATGACTGTGGAATTCCCACCCAAAATCTCTCCACACCAAGCTCCATCCAATCTGCTGTTGCCACTGGTTCAACACTCATTTCAAACTCCTAATATGGATGCCCAAGTGACAAGAGCTTAAAGAAGGGAAAAGGGATCAAGGACACTCATTATGGGAGACTAGGTGGAATTTTCCTAAAGCTTCTCACATTCCTTTCTAACTGGAGTTAGTGTAAACTTGTAATGCCCTTGCTCCAAAGGTCTCTCTGGCTACAATGATCCTTGTGTGTCAGGTAACTCATTTAGAGAAAATMTCTTAGTCTGTACTGTCTTGTGCCCTGAGATACAACCACAACMCAGCAGCACAGGATTCAGAAGAGCAGGTATACCAGATGAGAAGACCAGTATCTAAAAGGGAATGCCAGAGACACTCATGAGTTATATACTGCTCCCTTGAGTGATATCCACACTTTCAGCGAGGACGTTTTTTTTTCCCAGGGGTTATCTGGCTAAAACTTTATAATCTACAGAAATATTATCAGACTAGAAGGCATTACTAACCCAATTCCTTTGCCTTCCATCTCTCAATCTTAGAGTATTAGAGTGGAAAATAAAAAAAAAAAAAATTGCCTTCCATCTCTCAATCTTAGAGTATTAGAGTGGAAAATAAAAAAAAAAAAAAAAAACTCATATGAAATATTTCATTTATTGTAAGTGGATTCTGATTCCTAAGTAGTAGCATCAGTTTTGAAAGCATGATCAGCTAATTTGGACAATTTTGCCAGGYGCCTAAGGAAAACAGAAATACTCAAAACAATGCCACTTATGATATAAACCTGTGAAAGTTCTGCTTTTTTATGAAACTATTCCAGATTAGCCACTCTGCCAGCTCTTGGCAGAGTGTGAGGTTAAGTCTTCTAGAAAAGCAATCAGCTACTTCCCAACTCTTTCACTTGACTCATCTGCTAAAGACGAAAACAATTATCAGATYTCATAGCATTTGTGAAGAGATCTAGAACAAAGAAGGCCTAAGASCAAATAAGTCTGTAATAATATACATGAGAAGACAGCTTCAACAAGTTCTTACTGCAGCGAAGTTCTTAAACTGAAATMAAAAAAATGAAATTGAGAAGGCCCTCCTGCTTACTAAAAGCAAGATGTGTATATCTGTACAGGGTCATATAAAAGATCTGCTGCAAATTTACCACACTATCCTGCCCTTGGTAGTGATCAAAAGTGGATACAAAAGGAAAAATATAAGAACAGGAAAAACATATACTGGTTCTTCCCCAAGAAAACTCTGCCAASTCCACAGCTTGGCATTTAAAACAGTCCACAATTTTCATCCATTGGTTTGTCACTCTTAGAACTTATATACACTTCTAGCATTTGTAAGGTTCTATTGCAAGGAGTTCTGACATTTAAATATGCTTGAATCCTTTTGTTTGTTTTCAATTTGCTACCTGCCAGTTTTAGTTGATGCACTGTAATCATTGACCAAAAGATATGAAATTACTCTTTTTTCACCTTTTTCATTCTGCTCATGATTTTTCAAATGTTTTTCACCTCTTTTTTTCCATTTCCTCTTTGGGCCGGTAGAAGCAATACTCAGTCTAAATTAACTATGGACAAATAAAGAATGGAAATGAAATAATCTAATGAAGAGAACAAACAGCATTGTTACTTTGCCAAAAATTCTCACATTTTCACTGTGTGAAAAAGACTGTATGCTGTAATTCACAAAAAACCAAAACCCAAATAAACAAGAGGGTGACTATATAACCTGATCACTTTGGTACTATATTCCTAAAAATACCCATGAATCTCACAATTATTTTGTATCTTCAAATGTGCAAAGCTGCCTTTAAGTTTACTTCAAGCATTGGCTACTTTGAACAGTTGTAAATTAGTAACAGAAAATAAAAACTTTAAAAGAAAACCATGACACAAGTTTCATTGCAACATTTACTTTCATTGCTCACTAAAACATTATTCATTCATTATAACTGCCAGTACTTTCCTTACACAGAAGTATGTCACAAACCCTACTTTCAATTACTTTCAAAATATGCCATGTGAGCCTGAAGCTAGAGAAGAAGTCATGTAAGACAGTGACAGCTCAGTTAACACTACCTTTACAAAAAAATTATAACCATATTTACAGAAAGGGTGGAGATGCTTTTAAGTTGCTTTCTTAATTAATTCTAGGGGTAATCGTGAAAGACAAAATGTCTCAACATGCTACTTTCAAAATATCATGTAGATCATTAAGGGTATTTTATTAACTGAAGCAGATTTAAGAAAAAATAGCTTTTCTAATTATACCTTCCATATCTTCTTCCTTCATAAACAGGGAAAGAGAAGGGAAGAAAACAGATCTATAGATGATTATAGCAGATTATTTCATGTTTCTTAAAAATGAGACAATGATACAATGGGGGAAAATACTCCATCAAATCAATACAGAAGTCCTCCTTCCTGGAAAGGCCACGACTTTAGTGGGAGTGCTGAACCACCAGATGTAGGGGCTTTTGACAACACTGGTACATGGGGAGCGTTTTAATGGCATTAGTTGCAGTAGATTCCAAAAGCCATTCAATACTGAGGATATGGCAAATTATTAWGGGAAGATAAAAATAAGTAATTTCCATTCATCCCAGATTTGTGGCTGTTACAGTTTGCTTCTGAAGAGCTACTGCATCCARAAAAGTTACCTGCTGGAAGTACTTGTCGCAGTTAATGTATTCCTTATCGTGGGAGTCTTGCAGCTTGTTTGTTTTGATGTACTGCCAGAGAGCCTGGATGATGGCTGAGCGCGTCTGCGTGTGGATCCCCAGCAGACGTGCCAACCGTGGGTCCAGTTTAAACTGGGGAGGCTGAAACAGAAAGCGAAGGAGGTGGCAGTGAAGAGGAAAGCAGACAGATACACAAGTATGAAGTTTCAGTTTTAGTTCTTGGGGAACTCTTCCTCAGTAGAAGCATCGCATTCAATGGCAGAGATTACAAAAATACAAGTTTGTATTGTTGGTGCTCTGAAGAGGGATACTGTACCTTTGCTGTGCACAGGGACTTTCTGTAGCACATGCTTTAAATAATAAAAACATGCACAACGACTCAGGAAGAATTTTCCTTTTCAACATTGACTGCAATCTGACTTTTGCGAAWGGGAGAAGAAAAAGAACAGCCCTTCTTTTGAACTACTGTAAGTTAACCACATAGAAAGAGAGATGGAAGGCAGGATGATGTTTCYACAGTTATTGCTAATAACTCCTGTCTACATCAACACACTGTCTTGGAACTCTGTTTTTTCAGGCATGTTCCCACCATTCTGGTGCATGACAGAACATTTACCCAACCACAATCAGTCAATGGAATATAWATTTCTTTTCCTGACCTCAGTGATACAATTCAACTTCCATGTTCTGCATCTCTAGTAATATAAATTCCTTGGATAATTTGGAATTACATGCTACTTCAACTGTGTACTCCTACTCAAATTTGGTACTTGCCACATTATTAAGCAAGGATTACTCCAGCGGGTGCCAGGTCACCCAAAGCTAGCTTTATAATGAATCAAAATTTAAGAATAAAAGAACATCTATTTTAAAGCATAGATTTGTAATAATGGTAAGCATAACAAACATCATCACATTGTCTTAACAATAATACTTACTCACTGCCTAYATTATTATTAGTATTTAGTTAGCCCATATACTCCCTTAAAAAAAATTAATAAAATTTTCCATCTGCTAACATAAAATGGAGTGAATCAATGCTATTTGCATGGAGGGGAAAGAAGGTGGCAGAGAACAAGTTCTTAAAGTTATACCATCAAAATGCATCAATTTTGTCCAGAGATGRTTTCAATCAGATTTGTGAGCTCCACAACTGCAGTGTCCATCATTTGTGCCCAGATAAGGCTGCCATAGCTACACAGCTAGTTCAGGTAACACTAGCAAAAGCTACTCCTCTGAAATTTTTTTAAGAACCACACACATAACTTGTGCGCAACTTATCTGACTATTCTCTAAGAAGCTAGAGTAGTAAATGCATATTTTTTCTGCAGGTGAGCAATGAAAATACTAATTATCATAATGCCAAAACCAGTATTTTGCTAGACTATATTAGAAACTCGCTCGATTTGTCCCCTTCAAAATTTTAAATAATCTGCCAGTTTGGTATCACTCTAACTTCAATGGACCATGTGACATTGCAAGTCCAAGTATATTGGGTTTTGATGTCCGTGACAAAATGAATTTGCTCTGTTCCATTAGGTCCCAATGGCTGTATTTTCCACRTCAAAAGCAGTGCACAGACCTGGTAGTCTAACATGAGGAGTAGTGTGCATCGAACGCTGACATCCCCAGGTCTCTTCACCTGGAAGCCGTCTGTTTCCTGGGTCGTGGGAGTTCTGTGCCACTGACAAAGAGAAAAGCAACATGGTTGGTCTTTTTTTCACTGATGTCTATGGAGGTGCATCTTGCACAGTACACCATAACAGAATCAAATAAGCACAAGCTTTCTGAAAATCTAGCAATTTAAAAAAGAAACCAAACAGCAAAACCAAATCACCACCACACCCCCCCCATCCTAATAATTTCAATTCAACTTTAGTGCAGAATCTTGCTCTGCTGCTAGCATGTTTTACTTGTTAGGAAAAAAGTGCACAATTTTTTCATCTTTTCATACATTCTGTTATAAGATGTGCATTACATCACTAATACATCTATGGTTTTAGAGTAGATTCCTTTAGCAAACATGCTTAAGAAGAATGCAATTTTGAAAACTTTGAAAATACCTTAAATCAGGTAATGAATGCAAGGCCCCTTAAACAAGGGAGGCAACAGGCGACAAATGCTTATTTGTGCCAGTAACTGGTTTGTATGCAAAGGGTGTACAACCTTCTCACCTCCACAAGATGATTGTCRGGTCCATAAAGATCTTTGTCCAGTTCAATAACCAAACTCTTAAAAAAAGATGAAAACTTCCGTTTCTGTTTGCTGAGCTGTACAAGCAGAAGAACCAAACATGTGTAAGGCGGCATATATTAGCTTGTGTCCCAGATTTCCTKCTCAGTCCCTSTGTCTTGAACATTAAATCCCATGTAAACTATACATCTTAATCTAATTGAGTTCTCCCTCTGACAAACACAGGGTAAGATACAAAAATCTCAACAGTGGTGKAACAGTGAACACTTTAGGGAAGATTTCCTTGACTCTTAATGTTATTGCAAAGGACTGGCTTGTAAAGTGAACATGGCACCCATGAGAAAGGTCCAGAGAACAGCCATAAAAATCATGTGAGGATTGGAGCACCTCTCCTGTGAGGACAGGCTAAGAGAGCTGGGGCTGTCTAGCCCAGAGAAAAGCAGGCTTCAGGGAATATTTAAAGGGGGCTTGTAAGAAAGATTGAAAGAGACTTTTTACCAAGATCTGTAGTGACAGGGTGAGGGGCAAYGGTTTTAAAATGAAATACGGTAGGTTTGGATTGCTGATAAGAATTACATTTTTTACTCAGAGGGTGGTGAGGCTCTGGCACAAGTTGCCTACAGAAGTTGTGGCTTTCCTATCCGTGAAAGTGTTCCAGGTCAGGTTGGACGGAGCTTTGAGCAGCCTGGGTGAGCAGAAGGTGCCCCTGCCTTCAGCAGTGGCATGGAATGAGATGGTCTTGAAGGTCCCTTCCAACCCAAACCATTCCTAAGGCCTCTGTATACCTTTCATTTTAACAGCCTGGGTTTTTTTCATGAATGCTAATTTATTGGTCTGATTTATTAGATTACAGTAAATTTTGCAGACTGGTCATACACTAAGTAAAGCTACTTCCTTTTACATTTTGTGTTTCCATGCAATTATCAGTACTCGTTCTTCACTACACAGCTCATAGTGTCTACATTAAAAAAWGGAAGGTCTATGATTACCTAATCTGACTCTCCACAGAATACAGGCCACAGGATTCCAATTTATTTCTYTGTATTTAATGCAGATAATATTTTCTTAAAAATGATGGTAATTAAAAAGCTATTTTGTTCCAACATAAAGAATCTCTTTCTTTATTAAAATACATGCTGTAATTTCTAAACCAAATTCATCAAACTTCAGTTCCCAGATATTGCACTTTGTCACCACTTCATCCTCCAGCAAGACTGAATCTGATTGATGCAGTTACCTCCAGACTGAAAGCCTTGTCTTCTCCATGCTCTCCATCTGTTTAGCCTATAAATACTTACTTGTGAAGTCTATTCAAAGAAATTATGTCTTTATTATTAAAGTCCAGTTCTCCCAAGGGCAGCTATGCCCATCACTGACGTTTCTGAGGACTTCATAATGATAAAATGYTTCTTCCATCCTTGCTCTAACCATTCATTGTCTTGTACTCCCTACGAATATGAAGTACTGCYCTCTCCTTGTTATCCTGCTCTTCACAAAATGCAATGCCTGCTGCAAGCCTGAATTATCACACATGTTGTAATGTGAACCCTACCCTCTCTTTAAAAGGAATCATCACAGCCCTCTTCTCTCCATTTCCTCCTACTTCTCCTATCCTTAYGTCTGCCTCATTTCCTGCTGCACTTCCAACATTCCAGTAGGGYGTTATCCCTTACTGCCTTCCCAGCAGCAACAAGCCAACACTCAGCTGATGTCCCCAGTAAAACCTACCACCCCAAAGGACAAATCTCTAGACTCCTGCCAGCACCAGTGAAGCAGAGATAAGTCATACATCATCCAGGAGCTTCCCCTCCACGCGCAGCTCCCACGAAGCAATGCTGCCATCGGAGTCATCAGCATCGGATTTTGCAGGATTAAATGTGTTGGAGATGTAAAGTCTTAGTTTCCGCTTTTGCTGTTTTACACAAAGAAAAGGGAAAAGTACATATCCAGTTTAAGTTTAAGATCTGAGGAAGCTGYAGGAAAAGTGGTAATTACACATTTAGTAGAGAAATCTCCATGTTTTGTACAGTTGCACCCAGTTAAATCAGAATTTAAGATTCCGTTACATATAAGAAGATACACTGAAGAACTGAAYCTGGAAATTCCTTTGAAAAACTCTTGGCTATACAAACACACTAAAATTCACTGTAAATGGAAGAAGACAGGAGGTAGCCAAGGCTGAGAGGTGATAAATCCTATATTTCTGGATTAGATATTTGAGAAATCATTGTAAGAAAAGCATAATATGATGTCCTTTCTGGCTTCAGCCTAGCTACATTGCTAAAACTCAGCTGCAATTCTATTGCAACATAAATGTCTTTCATAGTTGCATCAGTTCAGATTTATAAATGGCAGTCACAAATACAGCTCATGCTGTAAACTATCTGCCAGGCACATCCCTGCCCATCTGCATTCCACCATCATACAGCATCTGATAATAGTCCTGCAGACACACWTGAACACACCAACACATGCACATCGGCTGCCATACCCTCCTCTTCACCATACCTGCCTCCACCCTCATCAAAGTTGCTGTTGGGAGACCTGAGTGAAGGAAGGCACCCTGTTTCATTCCTAATCCAGGTGCTCAAGTCTCTCAGAGATAAAATCATGTCTGTACGTTGTCATYTTTACAGACTACCTGAGGTTTCCTGATCACCATAGTGGCTTACGGCTGTGTCATTTCTCAGCATGTTTCCTTCTGTGCACCATGTGGAAAATCCAGTCATTAAGTCTGATGCATGGAYTCCAGAAAAGATTACTGCCAAAAATTATTTTGAGACTCTAGTCTCCAATACCTATGTATAATGCAATGAAAAAAAGGCTACAGTTATCAAGTTAATGCAGACAAAACAACATAAGAAAGGAGCAATCTTGTAAAGCTTTCACACTCACACATAGGAGAGAAGGAAGTTACATACATCAGGGTATAGAGCATAGTCTGTCATAGAGGAAGGGGGAAGGCAGAGATGTATGGCTGAAGAGGAACAGGAACATCAGTGCATTTTGCCAAATCTGGAGAAGACAGTGACAGAAAGGTTTGATAGAAATGGAGTGTCAATAGYGTGCTCTGACAGGGCATGGATTTTCCGAAGTGCCATCAGTCCAGCAAATGACAGGTCTATACAGCTAAGAATCAGCAGACAGGTAGGAAAACATTYCTGCAAATCCATATTCTTTCTCCATCCTTTCCCACAGGATTTCTGTTGYCCGAAGTGCTCTTTCATAATATAATTATTTTAATGACCCAAAATCTCAATTARGTGTGGCAGACTAGTGAAGGACTTGGGATTTCTAAATTCACAACTCTTCAAATTACCCTGCACATTTTATGCATCATTCCTAAATTTTATCCCCACCTGGATTACTTGCAGAACTGTACCTACACACACAAGTCGGCTTTTACTGAATAGTTCCTCATAGATACTCTCCCGAGATTTCAGGTTTATATCATTGATTCCATTTCCTCTTCTTTCAACTTCCAAAGATACTATATTCATTCTCACATTTACTCTGGAAACTTCTTCCAGAGAAGAAGTTTTTCCCCATATCCCCATATTTGGGGAAAATATATCCCCATATCCAGACAGGAACTGTGTCTGTTTCCTCAGAAGTCTGACACTTCATTGCTAAGATCATCCTCTGCAATAACATCCTTATTCAAATCTGAGTATTTTAGATATCTCCCTTTCTCTCTGGCTGCCTTGTCCAYTCCACCTAAAACCAAGTCAGTAACAACACTCAACTCAACTGTGAAGTATCGAGCTCTTCTCCTCCACGCTTTCACTCTTTCCCTTTGGAAGCCCCTTAGGATTTGTCTTTCAAGTCATGCACAAGCCAGATGCAGCTTACATTTCAGAATGGTCTCCTGTTGGCTTCCCTGTACTTTCCCTGGTCTGCTGTAGTCTGAGTCTGTAAATCATTTGGTTGTTTCTCCTGCATCTCTCTTCAATTTACACTGTTTGGTTTTACACAACAAATTCTCTTTCTCAAATCTAATTMTTTCCTGACTGTGACACCTATAAGTGACTTCCACATCAGAAAGGAACCTAGAATAATTATGAATAAAAATGCTAACTAATGGCTACCTCTATCCTTTCTCCTACTTTTAATGTATCTTGCTTTTACATCAAAAATCATTTAGCCTCAGACTCCAACATGATACAGACACTACAGACAACTTGTCTGTACCGWGGCATGCTGTGCCTCCAGCCTCTGCTGGGCAGAGACATTCTATCCAACAACAAAATGTGCAACCTGCACCCTGGGGGCTCTCTTCAAACACAAATTCACAACAATATTAAGGGAGTAATAATCTCTTAAATGCAACCACAGAAAGATCCTTGCTTCTGACTCCTCAAGGAATCAGTCAGGCAGGGCAACTGCACAGCTGCAAGAATACTCCAACACCAAATGGGCTTTAAATCTAAAAAAAACTTTATGAGAACACAAAACAGAATAAGGGAACATAAAAAAAGGAAAAATTACATTTGCTGGGTAAAATAAAATTTGAAAAAAAAAAATCTGTAAACCAGATTTTCTCTGCTCACGTGTCCTCGAAAATGGTTCATTTCTTCAAGTTTGCTCTTATTCCAGCAATTCTGTGACTTTCAGGGTTCAGGTATGACCTGCAGAGTCAGCCAGACCTCCCAGAGATGTTTTGGCAAGCAGTATAAAAAACTGTGAAAGAGGCATCTGTCCATGACCACTGYTCCAACAGATCATCTTGCTCTGTATAGCACTGTACTGACCCAGACACATTCAAGACCCAACTACCTTTCTGAAGGTGCTGCCATCATGACCACATCTTGTTCGTTTCCTGCCACTCCTTCATTTTTTTCCTWTATTTCCCTGCTGCTTTTCCATTTTTCCTTTTTTCCCCTGCCCTTTCCAGAATTACCACCACCTCTTCCTTAYATGTCCAGGGTTGCCAGCACCACTGGCTCCTTGTACGAGCTACCTGGGAATGGTTCTGCTCCCAGACATTTTGGGAGGCTGTCTGCTCTTCCAGGTCCAGGAACTAGACAACAGCACTTGAACTTACACAAACACTACACACACTTTAACTACCTACACTTGTCACCAGCAGTGGTAATGCATACTTCCTGCAGTGGCATTTAAAGAAAATAAATTTAGAAATCCCTAGCAAAATTTCAGAACCATGGATCTATCCAGTGAGYAACAACTCCARYATGCACAGCTACACTGMCACCATAAGGATGTCCAGTCTTGTAAGATGCCAGTTCAGAGATGAGATAGATAGTCAAAACTGAGCTAAAGGAACAAAAACACCAACATGGTGCTGGGTAGCGCTTTAGGGTCACTATACAGACTGTAAAGTCTTTTCAGCCAATGACACACACCCAAAACCACTGCACTCAGTTCACTCTCAGTACCCCYGTGTTCCACAGTAAGGTCAAGTTCATACCCAGAAGGCTCTCAGAATGACCTATTCTTCCATCTCCAGTTGAGGAACTCCATCTCATCCCAGCAGGAAATGATAAAAGTTATGCAYAACTAGATTGCTTTGCAGCTTAAATAAAGCAGTGGCAAGAAGCCACTGCCCTTCAATAAATTCTGCAAATTTCTTAGCCATGCACTTTATCACACAGACCTAAAATCTGTTCTCCTCTCGGTATGGTAGATTCTCAGAGAACAGAGAAGCAATCAACGAAAGGATTTTCAGTAGCTGGGAGCAAAAAAAGTGAAAAAAAAAAAAGACTTACAGTTCTAGGGCAAAGAGAAAGCATCACACTTCATCTGTTCCAACACACCGGAACTTTACCACCCATGAAAGCAAAGCTGAGATAGGGGAACTTCACAAAGACTTGATCAACACTGTGAATAAAATCATCTCTTGTCCAAAAATCAGTAAGTGTTTGATCTCCTTGGTCTCTAAGAGTAAGATACAGATATTTCACTTGATTTCAGCAAAAGGAACTTTAAATAGCAGTCATATTAAAATGAAAAGCCTTCCCCTAAAACCATTGTATTTCAMTGATAATTTCTCCTTGAGAAAATGAAAAGGGRAAGAAAAACGTATGTAACAGATGARCRGTCATGTCAGCAATGAACTCCTGCAAAGGTCTCAGCACAACTGCTGGGAGAACATAGGTGAAATCAAAGATCTGAACAAGAGACTGGCAGGAACAGTGGAGCAGCACAGCTACAGCTTGATCTCTCTCTGTGTGAAGGAAGGGTGCTGAGAAGTGACACTTTTCTCTCTCTGAAGACAATGTCATCTTCATACAAATCAATACAGCTTTAAGTTCAAGTAAATGGGTGAAATGCTGGAAATCTGTCAAATCCTTCAGCAAACTTTTCCTTGTCAGTGTTACTTTTTTTTTTTTTTAAATTTTATTTTTTCGTTTCCATTAGTACTGAATCTCTTAACAGGTCAAATCCAGAAGTATCTGATGATCCCATGAGCTGTGTGCTATCCCCCAGTAAAATTTGCATCAACTGCTGAAGTTGAAGTTTCTTTCAATGAACTCTCAGGCTGGACGCAAAACCTCCAGAAGCTTCCAATGGAAGTTGTGCTTGGGATTTCAAACAAACTATTAGCAAAGTCTATTGCTCACTGATTCAAGAAAATCTGGCTGCCAATCTTATAACCAGTGTTGTGTTAAGAGTTCTCTAAGTGTATCTTAAGGGTGAATTTCTATGAATCTCAACACAGCATAAAAACCTCAAGCAGAAAGCGCAGAAAAGATTAAAATCTGTGTTTCTGCCTTTGCATATAGAACAACTCTTTCCTGGTCTCACAGAAAAAAAAATTAGGAAGTAAAATGAACAGTGGTAGCATAGAGACTAAAAACCAGGAGACAGGAAAAGCAATGACCACTGTCTGACCATTATAAAACACTACAATTAGACAGAGAGTGTCTATATCAGAACTGGAATATAGAGGCATCTCTCACTCAGAGAAGCAGCAAAATATGTCAGTATTTGTAGAGGAAACAAAATTAGTTAGGTAACTCCTGAAAAAAAGGACAAGAACTTAAAAATGGCCAACCCAAAGCAGAAAAATCAGTGACTTGGTAGACTTCACAAGCATCTTGAATAATAAAAGGAACRAGACAATACTTACTGAGTTCAAAATTGCACCAACATATGAAAAACACTTTATAGAACTGCTCTATAAAAGCTTAAAAATCAACAACAAAACTCAAAAAAGGTGAAACAAATACTACAGAGKAATAAAATGGACATTCGTATACACAACAGTCTATAAAATCAGAGCTGTAGCAGCTTATTTRGTAGTTGTATACTCTACTTTCTCAGGACAGAATAAGGATTTATATAGTGACAGGTAATAAGAATAAGCCAGGTGCACTGAAAAATTCCTTTTCTATAGTGATTGTAAGGAATGAATTTTTTATCTGAGAAAAGAGAACATTAAAGAACTTGAAAGACATGTTTAAAACACTGAGTGATTAAAGAACGAGGTTAGGCTTTTGCATTATGCTTATCTCACAATGCAAAAAGCAGAACACATAAAATTATGCCACAAGGTGTTTCAGAAAAAAATACAAACTGCTTTATGGCAACAATCTGATTTCAATTCTTCAGTCATCTTAAAACCTGAAAGTGGGGAAAGAATCTCAATTCACAAAACTAGGGAGAATGACACTATGATGGTATTCTGATGCTACTATTTGTTTTTAACCTAAAAATGGAGAACCTGGGAGCTCATAAATAAATATAATTTATTTTGGAAACTGCAACTATACACGTCTGGTAAACTGGATGTCCCACACCAGTTCACTGCAAAAGAGTGACAGTCCCTGGATGACAGTCTCTGGTTTGGGTGAGACCAAAGTACTGTCTGTGGTGCCAGGACTCAAGGGAAAGAAATAAGTATTTTTAAGGGCATTATTTATCTATATTGTTTTAAACATCCACTTCTGTATGAGAAGAATTGTGCCCTGAACACCACTCCCTACGCCAACTTCATGGCTCAACTATGAAGGGAGCCAACAGTGACTAACTCACATAGAAATTAATACAATGAATATGCCTATACTTTGCCAAATAAATCCCACTCCCAAAGTCCACACCATGGCACTAGAGCTGCATAGATTTTCAGTAATTCATACCTCTTTAATGACATCTACTGGTCTGGAGTTGAGTGTACAGTTTCTGTTCCCTTCCAGCYATTGAGCTTGCTCTATGTATCAAACAGCCCTCTCTGCCTGACTACCTCCTAAAAGTTCTTTGTGGAATTCTGACTATGTGGTCTTCCATGAAGTCAGTAAAAGGACTCTTGCTAATGCTGCTCTGCAGACAAAGGAATTCTGAGACCCTCATGACARATGCAATCCAAGAATGCAGAACTGGCTGAAGAAGAGAACACAGCAGTGCCCAACAAGAAGAAAGCTGYCAAGGCAGGATCTAAACTGGAAAAGCTGGCAGCTGAAAGGGGCTGCTGACAGTAGTCACAGGAGCTGCCAAGTGGGGAAGGCCATTTYCCCCTTCAACAGCCACAAAACCCCCAGGTCTCCTCACTTCTTGAGCCATCCCACAGCTGTCACCTGGTTCAACAGTGCAACTGTTCTCAGGAGATCCAAGTAGGACCAACAAGCTAAAGGTATTTATAGCCTGCGCTCAGGAAAAAAACGCTTAAAACACTTTCCTCTAAAATTTCCCCAGAACAGTTAGTCTTCAGACAGAAAAAAAACCAAGCCTGAGCAACACTAAACCATAAATCTGTGGTTCCCTTTGACTGTTGCTAGCTGCAGCTCAATCACTGTGACTAATACTGTAACTGCAATTACAGCTGATAATTCTGAGCAATCCTGCATATTTCCTACATAATTTCACATTCCTTACACAAATTAATATTTTTTGCAGGATTACAATCCCTGAATAAAATCACTGTTTTAAGGTAAATATTTCAAAATTACAAGAGCTTTGATAAGAGATGGAAATGCAGAGATAACTTCTATTGCTGTTACCAATTCTGCAAGTATAATGAAATGAAAATACTTAACACTAAGAAAAACCTAAATTTACTTAGGTTTAGCTCTATTTTGACAGGTCTGCTACCTATATGCTAGGCCTACTTATACATTAATTTGAAAAACATCAGTTTGACCATTCTCTAGATGTTAACTGAGTAACTGATATTTAAAACGTGTTTGTTAAGCCCTAGATGGAAACAGAATTTTCTGTCCACAGTTTCTGTTGTGCCTCCTATACTATTCCCTACCCCAGACACTGAATATCTCCATTGCAGAGTTACAGCTGGGACCTTGTGTACCTGTGAATTCCCTCATTGAAGAGTTTGCCACAGAATAAACAACTTCTTGCTGCTTTATGAATGCAAGTAAAAGTCTTCAATCACTTTTAATCATGGCCAGGTTCCTAGCTAATTTAAAAGAATGGTGTTCTACCCATATCAAGAAGGTAAGACTAATTAYTTTTTTCTCAGAGTCCAATCTGCTATGTACAACATATTTATACAATGAACTCGTGATTTAGGCTATCCACAATTCAGTTTCCTATCTGTCTAGGTATGTTATTGGAACTTAATTGTTTCTTCTTTTTTTTTGTTTCACATATATCAACTGGGAAAATATCAAGAGGCAAAAGCCTTCCACGTCTTATCAGATACCTGTACAGTGGCAAACACAAGGGAATACTGATCTTTATTGAGTAGACTTCCATCCCAGTGGTACAGACAAGAATGATAGCTTTACTTCACAGCACACATACAGCTACAAAACACTTCATCCTATGGGAATTATCAGATGAATGAGTATGAGGTACCCAATACAGTCACAAAAACTTAAACGAGACATTAAAAGAAATTCTTCACAATAGGAGTGAACAAAAATTATAACAGACTGTGTGACAAGGCTGTGAAACCTCCATCCTTACAGATTTTTAAACTCAGCAAGGCCTTGACAACCCTGTTTATTGCAGAAGGTTGAACTAGGTAACTTCCAGTTTCCTTCYACCTAAACTCTTCCATTATTCCAATTAATCGACTCAGAAAACTTGGCAAAAGGCCATTTCAATGGGACATTAGGAAGAGTGAAGTGCTGGAGTTGATCTAACGGAAACTACAGAAAATGTCATCCATTCTCTTCTATCACAAATCCTTTTACAGAATCCTTTCACAGAATATGCATTTTAGCAGGATATATAACAATTTTTCTCTAAGTAATTCTTCTCATTGTATGTTCTGTTATTCCACAAGTTGCACTTCTGACCAAATTTGATTTGGAAATGCAATACATCTCTTCAGCACAACCCYAGAATCTCTAATTTTCTCATTTTTTATAATTTTAATACAAAGTTCCCAAAGCAGTGTCTATTTTTCCCTAAACTATTATTCCCCTTATTACAGACTTTCAGGAGCTAGAGCTGGTAATAGCCACAGAATTTTTTCTACCACTTTTCTGTGCATACCGATTCCCTGATTGTTGCTCCTAGCAGCTTTGTCTGACCCATTCCAAAGCACTTCYGTTAATGGGACTTTTATTGGAAAGGTATTTCCACCATTTACCACAAGAATTATTCTCCTCCCCTGACACAACCCACAAATTTTTCACAACATACCTTCATCGGCCTCTTCAGTGCTTCCTGAATATCCACACGCTTCCGCATAATTGTCTGGTCTAGTTTGCGTTCAAAGGCCAAGAGATCCATGTAGGCTTGGGACTCAGGAACCAGCTCCCGGATCTGAGAAGGAAGCAAGGAATATCCAAGCACTGGAAGCACAAATTTGCCATGTTCCAGAGCAGTAATACTGACACATTTACAGTCCTTTGAGAGATGTGCCCAGAGGAGTTCTCCCTCTGACAGCAGTTCCCAGACAGTGAGGCAGGTCTCAGTGGCATGGGGTAAGCACAGACTGAAAAGAGGGAGCACAGAACTGAAGCTGATGGATTCTGGAAGACCCCACTGAATCCACTAGGCTTGAATCATGATTGTTTTCTTTAAGTGAGGCTTAGCTACAAGCAGCCAGGGAGCCACTGCTCTCCGCAATCCAAGGTACAGTGAATTTGTCCTGTTGAAAACTAAAAGAATGTTGCCATCTCTAGACTAAATGGGGCGGGATGTGGTTCCTGCTGTTGTTTCAAAAACAAGTGTTACCCATTGAAAATAAAAACTGCTATGTAGGATGCTATCCTTTGCCAGCACATCTTCCTGGCTGAGGTGAATTGACCTTCACATCAAAGTCGCAACATGACCAGCTATCAGGTGTCAACTTATGATCCTACCAACTATTGTTGGTATTTTAATACATTAGCTAAACTATATTACTTCTACTGACAAACCCTCCTTTTATTTTCTCTTTCACATGGAAGTTATCAAAGGAGGGGCTATGAATTAGAGTGGAAGCAAGACCTAAYGAACTGAGCTTAGAAATGGTTAAGTATACCCTTAAACGAAAATGTTGGTTCTTAATTTCGAATACCACATGCAGGTAAACCATAAAAAAGTACTGTAAGTAATTAAAACAGATCTACCAGACAATCTTGTCTATTTCTATAATATTCACTCTATCTTTCACCTATTTAACTGAAATATTTAGCTGTTAAAATATTTCCATAGGAATTAAAAGCAAGTTGGTATTCCTGGTTTGCTTTAGAGTCAGAATTAGTTACAGGTAAAATTACAGTTTAAATCTTAAGGCCAGATTTAAATCTGTGAGAGACATCAGGCATACACCTACTCCCTGTTTGCTGCAAGGACACGAGAACTATTGCACCAGATCATGCCAACAGTTGGCTCTCCTAGTATTGTGTCTCTGACCAGGTTTGAAAGTTGTTGCCTTTTAGTATCTGCACTGGCCTGAGGCATAGCATTCCAGAACCTCACCAGGCAATGTGGGAAGAAGTACCTCCATTTCCTCATTTGGAACCTGCCAAGAGTGAGCTTCATTGGATGCCAYTCCCCTGCACTGCTGGAGCACCAGTGGGCAAGCATTCCCTCTGTAAAACCTTTTCCATGTGTTTTACAGGTTTTTGTCATCCCTTTCTTAATMATTTTCTTAGAATTACATGGGTAACTGGAACAGATTATTATTAACACTAGTAAGACAGTGTCTTTCTAGAGGCTGGAGTTGTTTATTTTTCTATTGTGAAGATTAAAATGTTTCAAAGTTTTAAAAATTAGTAAAAAGCAATTATTACTAAATTATGCACTTTTATCCTTGATGTCCACAAGGCTTTTTTTTTTTTTTTTAATCAATGGTGACCAAAAAATGGCAAACTTGCAAGTGGGGACAGTGAGGAGAGTGTGGAAAGAATGGCATGATGGAAGAGGCTCTCACAATTTCCTTGTAGAAGCAGCACAATGTGGAGGCCCTACCACGCCTGCCTGCAAAGAGACATGCAAGGCTTGTGAGACAGAATCAGAAACCAAGGAACAGCTGCAACACTACAAATTCTGGGATATGAACAACACCATTGGATAGCTTCTACAGCTGTCACATTATGAMAGCTTGGAAGGCAATGACAGCAGTCAGCAGGCTGGGGAAGGCAATGAGGAAGACTTCTGCAAGAAGATCAGCAGCAGGAGGAAAGCTAAGGAAAACCCAGGTCTGGGTCTGGGTCTGGTTCTGCCACTCATGTGAAAAGCCACAAAAAGGCTGTGGCACTCCATGCTGTCTTTGGCTCCATTGCTCCTGGTTAAGTCCTGTTCTCAGGCCATCCAGGGTCCTGAGCCCAAGTCAGTCAGGGCAGCAGGGMTGCTCAGAGAGACCCTGACAGGCTGCAGAAACAGGACGGCATTCAACACGCTAAAGTTCCACACTGGAAAAGTTCTGCTCCTGGRATAGGATGACGCCGTGCAGGGGGACAGGCGGGGAGTGGCTGGCTAGAAAACAGGCTGGCAGGACAGGACTTGGAGGCCCTGATGGACAGACAACAAGTGCAGAAGGAGTCTGAGGGGTAAGGCAGCCATGGCAAAGGTCAGCTGCAAAAAGGGCTGTTATTAGTGCAGTTGTTGCCATCAAGCCCGGGAAAAGAGGCTCTTCCTTGCTACGCCATGCCRGTGAAACTGGATCTGGACTGGTGGGCACAGGACCACAAAGATGTGACACTCTGGAGTGAGGCTCACAGAGGCTCAGTAGGATGTCGGGGGCTGGAGGACTCTTGGAGAACTGTCAAGAGAAGCTACAAGAGCTTCTCCAGCCTGGAGAAGAAAAGGGAACAGGACTGCGACTGCCATATGAACTGGTGAAGCATAGACATGGCCAGCCTCCCCTTGGAGGTGTGTGAGATTAGGGTGAGAGGCAACAGAAACTCACTGCAGCATGGGCAATTCACTCCTTGTAAGGAACTGGTAAAAAAAAATCTCTGGCAAAACAAACAAAACACAGGATGGTATTAAAACATTGGAACAGGCTGACAAAAAATGTGTCCATCCTTGGCTGGAGGTATTCAGAACCTATCTAGACAACGTCCTGAGCAAGCTGATGCAATTTGAACCTGTTTTGGGCAACAGCTGACCTGCACAACTTTCAGAGGTCCTATTGCTGTGCACCTCCAAGACCCCAGAAAAGAAAATGATAAATAAAATTTTATCTATTTCAGGAGCGAACAATTGGAGCCGCATTCTTCATTGCCTAAGCAGGACATACAAAACAGTTTCAGCACTCTGCTTTTTAAAAGAAAAATCACTAATAAACAGRGATGTGGCAGTTTCTTTAGAATTAGGCTACCCTAGAATTCTCGTACTTGAGACAGGTAACAAAATCCAAGACCTCTTACTCCCCCAAGCCYGACAAGCTCAATTTGATCCTGAGTTCTTTTTTCACTACCTCAGGCAGATGCACACAACCCACACATTTCACAGGTATTGCTCCGAACCAGAAYTTTTATATCTTAAGTGGCAGTGACTGAAGTCTGACTTGGAACTACAGGCCAGTTTCCCCGCTAAGAAACTTTAGCCTGTATCTTATTGACAAAAATGTCTCTACCATTGAGGCTTCTGTGATGGTCAAAGAAAGACAGCTAAGGGGCTAAGTGCTTTATAATTATAACTCCTTTATAATTATAACTGTGCCACCCTGAGATCCCTAAGAGAGAGTGGCTCAATGAGAATTTCTGACTGACAACCACAAGGTCAGTAACACAGTCCAGTAAATGGCAAAAGCAATCAATGACTGTGCCATTCTCAACCTCATAGCCATTTGCAGATACCATTCAAGAATGCAAGGATTCTGCAACAGTGTAAGCAAGAGTTCAGCAAGTTTATCATCAGCCACTCATRATAATCACAGTGCAGATTGACATAGGCAGAGAAAAGTAATACACTTACGTGCCTAAGCTCTATTTTTTCATGTGAATGCTTAATTTTATAAAAGAAGGCGATAAGAMACATCTATGAATCAGGATTATGAGTAGTTACTCTCGAAGTTCTGGTAAAAGTAATTCAGTAGCTTCTTTATGTAGAGTGGCTGGGCAGCATCTATGACCCAGCCAAACYTCTGAGACTGTACAGTCCAAAGAAACAACTGGAGTGGTGACCACAAATTCAATCAGCATGGAAAAGAATCACTCTAGAGCAGGGAGTCAGGTGGCACAAGAATACAACATTTGGACAGACTTCTGTTAGAAATGCTCTAGCAGCTGGATCAAAGGCATCAGCTTGAAGGGATATTGGGAAGTCTCTAGTTCCAACTTCCTGCTGAAAATAGGGTCAACAATGAGGTTACGCTGGGGTTTGAAAATTTCCATGGGGGGAGATCCTGCAACCTCTTTTGGTTCAAATGCCTGACTGCCCTGTTGTGAAAACATCTCCTTACATGTACTCAGCTTCCCTCCTGTTTTAACTTATGCTCACTGGCTCTCATTCTCCTGCCATGCTCCACTGGATAGCTGGCCCCATGTTCTTGGTCCTCCTCTCTTAGGAGCTGTTGCTATTCCTACATCCCCTCAGAGCCCTCCTTCAGACTGAACAAGGCCAGTTGTCTCAGTCTTTCCTCAWGTGCTGATCCCRTCATTCAATGAACCYGACAACSAKCCACTGTCCTCAGTCCAGTGTGCCAATGTTTTTCTTGAATTCAGGAKCCCAAAACTGGACACAGTGCTCCAGYTGTGAGCTAATGAGTACTGAGCAAAGATGGGTAATCAAGTCCCTCAATCTCKTGGCCATGCTCCAGGCCAGGAGCTCTGGATACTGTTAGTCATCTTTGCCGACAAGGCATACCTCCTACTCACACTCAGCTCAGTGCTCACCAGTGCCTCCAGGGCCTTCCCAGCAGTGCTGCTTCCCAGCCAGGCAGCCCCTCTCTTTTCCAAGGAAGAACATTTGACTTAGTCAAATTTCATGAAGTTCTTGACAGTTAATTCCACCAGCCTGTCCACAAGCATATTGACTGGTTTCCCCACCCAGTGATTGGTGTCATCTGTAGATTTTATMAGCAAGCACAGCATGGCCTTCTCCAGTGGCAAAGATGCTGGGCTGAACAGCTCTCAGGACACATCCCTGCAGTACTCTGATGTCAGTGTTTTCATAGCCAAGCGCAACCATTAGCTACTGTCTCAGCCTCATCACCTGCCCAGATGGTTGTCAGCCCATTTAGACCAAAATGTCCCAATCTGGATACAAGACTATAATGTCTGAGAAAGTGGCCTTGAAAGGACATCAGCCAGTTCCCTCAGATGCAGCCTGTTGGGTATCATGGAGTTGTATGGATCAAGTTTCCTCAACTAATCCCTGGCCCAATCCCTGTCCACTGTTGGCTGCTCCTCTTGGATATGCTCACTGATCACAGGGCATGGCAGGYATCATTAATGAAGACTGAACAAAGAAGAGTGTTTCAGACTTATTGTCTCTGTCATCACTGGAACACCCAGCCCACTCAGCATGGGGTGTACATTTTCCTTGGTCAGCCTTTATTACTAGTGCAATAGTCGAAGCTATCCTTGTCCTTGATGTCCCTTGAAAATCTCAACTACAGCTGAGCTTTGACTTTGCCAATACCATTCCCTGTATGCCCAGGCAACATTGCTAAACTACACCTTTGTAGCCTGTCCCTCCTTCACCTCTTGTACATTGCCATTTGATTCTGGGATCACCACTCTGAGTTCCCTACTCTGGGCTCCTCATAAATCTGCTCATTTTCCTGCATTTAAAACAGGCTGGTCTTAAAGGTCCTTAAAGACCTCCCAGCTTCCCAGAGCCACTTCGCCCTTCAGATCTGCTTCTCAAGGAATCACACCTACMAGTTCCCTGAATAAGCCAATTCTGCCTGTCTGAAGCCCAGGGTTTGTACTTCACTACCCTCCTTCCTCATTCCCTGCAAGATCTTGAATTTATTTCACAGTTGCTAAATCCAAAGCTACCACTGATTAGAACACCCGTAACCACTTCTTTCTTACAAGTCAATGGCAGATCCAGACGTTCCTCACCTCTGTTTGGATCAGATGGAGAAAGAAGTGGACAACAGCCATGCAGTGACCAAACCACAACAGGACAGCTATTATAGCATGGAATCTGTGCAGAGAATTCCACATGGTGGTCAGTGAACAGCAGCAGCAGCAATTGACTAAATATTTGTATAAAGGAAAATGAAGTAGAGAGAATTTAAAAGACAGGTGTACAAAAACCTGTCAGCAAAGCTAGACAAAAAGCTCTCAGGAATTTGGGGTGAAGTGAGAACAGCAGCAGCCAATACTAAGAGACAAGCACGCCATTGAAGGAGGGGCAGTTTGCTGTTTCAAAGTTGCACTCCATTCAGCAAGTTAAACAAGGAAAAGCAGAGACAGGCACAGTTATGAAGCCAGAATAGCTCTCAGCTGAGATTCATCCATCAGAATGGGTAGGGAAGAAAGCCAAAGAAAGAGAACAGTGGATCACGCTCACAGTCCCTGGGAAAAAAATGWAATGACTCAATATTAAAAGAAAATAAGACTGACCAGAAGCAATAAGGAGGCAAAGACTGGAGAAAGGCGCTGAGGTGCAGTCATTTGTCCCTACAGGCAGTTTGTGGCCTAAGGTCAAAATTGTGGCGCAACTGCCAGACTTGGGTCATGAAGGCAACACCAGCTCCAGAGATTTAGGTTCCCAGCTACSAATGAAGATGCCTGAGAATTTCTCCAAAACTGAATGAGGGTTTCAGCGACAACCAAGGGTGAACAAGATCCAGAAGTGAGGAAAATGAGGTAGGAAAGAGCCTGCTGGACAGAACTGAAGTTAATGTTAAATACACTATAAAATACTGAGCCTTGTTATGTTACAGTATGTCAACCTGAGCTTTACAAAGTCCTTGTGTTCATTAAAATCGGATTTTAGACAAAAGATATCAGTCACTACAATCAACTTTCATTTAAGYAAAGCATCTGACATACAGTGATAAAGGGAATCACTCCTTAAGACTGAAAAMCAGGGACTGGAACAAGACCTGGCATAGGAAAAAAGTATTAGGCAGGAAGTAYCTCATGGACCATTCATTAACAGTTCTTGTACAAAAAGAAGTATSCTAAGAAAACTTAGTAATGACAGATTTGGGTGTCACTGTGATGGCAAGGCAGAGGATAGTACTCTGAGGGTGGTAWGGAAGCTCAGAACTGTATAATGGAGATGGGATGAAACACAGCATTACAAAGCACAGGATCATGCTTTGTATGATCCTGCTCTAATACGGGAATTCAACAATTGCATATAACAGAAAACAGAAATGCTTGTATTAGTCAATCACAAAATGACCAGAGGCTATATCAGTGTGGAAAGGCAATTAAAAAAAAAAAAAAAAAAGCACAGCAATTCTAATTTGAAGTGCTATTTCCAGTAGAGATAAACATGTAGGAATGGCAATCAAGCACTGATGATACTGGTAATCTGTCATACTACATATAGTTCTGGTTTCTTGAGAGGTAGATTTAAAAATGCTTGAAAGAGACGAATTTAACCTGGAATAGATAAAACAAATGACTAAGAGAATTTCAAGAAGGGAGCCTCTCCTACCTGGCAAGCTAAAAGCACTTCCCTTGCCGAGACTAGCAAAACAAAAAAAACCCAAGCTGCGAGATCAGAAGTATGTCATAAGTAAGGAACATAACTAGTCTTGAGGCGGCAGTTGTGTCATGATTTCCATGACAGAGGGAACCAGACAGGATATGTCAGGAGGYCCCATGCAGTTCCCAAATCCAATCTTCCTAGGTGAAGTAGTTTGCTGGGTCGAAATTTTCAGATGATTATATTCCTGCAAAATTAAATCCTTCTCAAAAAGCTGACCTGGAGTGGCTGAGTCATCCTACCCAASTAGCACTTTGCTCCAGCACTGTGGCACAGGCTTGACCAGAGAGCCTGGAAATCCAACAAGAGGTTACCTGTGCCAACTGCTCGAGGTATTATCGTAGTGAGGAAAACTGAGAACCCACCTCCTTCTCCACTACTACATAAGACCATTTGCAAGAGGAAAATGTATTTAATATCTTCCCTTCTCCCCTTCAAAGTTCCTAGAAAACATACGCAAGAGTCTGCAAAAAGTCTGGGGGAAACAGATGCCGACTGACTGGAGGTAGTTCAGAGGTAGTTCCAGAAAGCTGGAAGTTTTACCCTGTGTTTCACAGGCATTCCACAGCCACCAGTGCAAATCCTCCACTAGACAGGAGAATGATGTGCACAGCATTTCTTCATCCCACAGATGGTGCAAGGGATTTCTGACACACCGAATGCAGCCTAACAGAGTACCTTAACCCASACAGAGGTCACATCATTGATACCAGCACTGCAGCTGCACTGATAAAACCCCACTGCAAAAAGAGATCCAGAAATCTCCTTATTACTCCACCAGTTAAAGCTATTGGCTGGCAGTAACAAAGATACTTGAAAGCAAGAACATTCRGTAAAAGCATGGTTCTGAAAGCATCTGTAGAGATTTTTGACACATCTATATAAGGCTCTACCTATTAAAGTATTATCATGGACTTGGTAAACAGAGTCATTGGTCTGTTCGCAAAAAAAAGTTTAACTACCTCTGAGGTATTTTAACCTTAAAAGGCATCAGGAAAAATAAAAACCAAAAAGAAAAACACACCCGCAACCAACCAACCAACCAACCAACCAAACCAAACCAACAAAACAAAACTAAAAGCGCCTTGAAATGGACATATGTTTCCAGCAACAGCCTCACTATAAAGCCTATATCACTGTCTGTGAAAACAGTTTGTGTGGGACAGACAAAAGTGACAGTACAAGAAACTTAGCTTTCATTATAAAAAAGTACAGACCACCAGCAGAGCAGGAATGCTGCAATTACCAGGGAGGCTGTGAGTAGTTCAATGGTCTGGGTTTAATAGGAGCTTAGTCCTTTCAAGATAGCATGTCCTTTCAAGACATGAGAGATCTAATGGCTAATATATGAGRGGCTCTGCTTTCAGAAGGCGGGCAGGAATGACAAGGGAAGAAGTGATAGCATGACATCAGGAGTACCAAAGTGGGCTCACCTCTTTGGATGGCTCGTAGTAGGCACCTGTGAAATGTCACARAAAAGACTTTATAGCCTGCCAGCAAGTTTGGGCTCACACTAGCAATGGAGCTTGAAAACTTGAAAAGGATGTGGAGGAAAAGGAAACACCTATCCAAGGGATTCCGAGCCCAGAAAAAGCACCAGTAGTCAAAGCAACTGAGGATGTGACAAGGGTATGTTTTGAAGTCTATGTGTTTGGGACCAAGCAGGTTCTTGGGGAACTGTACTGAASAGAGTAAAGGAAAGGAAAAGTCTGGGAATAATGAGAGAGAAAAGCAGAGAGAAACCCCAGTGTTWAGAAAGGAAATACAACATGTAAGCATTGAGGATCAAACACAGGCAGACACCAAAAGCTAGACATATCCCCASGGATAAGAGAATTAGTAACTCCAGACAATACAGACCCCTTGGACTCTGTTGTTTACATGGGCTCACTTCAGTACTACAGTGATACAACCACAAAAATCACCACCTGGCAGCTTTACTGGGCCAGAGACCTGAGTCYGAGCCCACCCCCTCAGGTACAGCCACACTCTGGACCAGGTTTTGGCCAGCCTCAGAAATGGATCAAAAGCATTCAGGAGACCCGAGGGCCCCAGTGCCGAGCTGTCGCTTGGCGGCCCAGCACCACGGTCCCTCCAGCAAGCGGCAGTGCTGGCTCGGCTAACCCAGGCGTGAGGCCGCACAGGCTGGGCTGYTCCACGCTCCCAGCCCCCAGCCCAGCCCCAGCCTGGCTCTCCAGACTTTCACCCACTGTCTACTTACTTTTTTAATTAGATTTTTAAACAAAAAGTGGAAGAATTTTCTAAAATTCTTCTAATTACACTAAGATGCTGAACTGATTGTGAAGGGAATAGGAAATGAAAGCGACTCACCCTCTGAGGGAGAATTTTGTCAGCCATCTTCCTCCTCTTGGCACTGTACATTTTTTAAAGAAAAAAACACGTTACCATGGTGACAGATCTAGGAGTAACGAGGCCACCTGCTAAATTATCCTGACATCTCCACATGCTGGTGCACAGCTGTGCATGCATCAGCAAAAGGGTCTCACCCATGCCCRGGACCTCGCACCCTTTCTCTCAGCAACCTGGGGAGGCAGTTAGGTAAGAACAAATCAGGGCTGTCTGTTATGCATCCTGGAAAGAAGTCTGTAAGTTCTTAGATCACAGCATCTTCTGTGGTGCAGGGCGGCAATGTATGCAAGTGCATGTGCACACATGGCCTCTAGGTACAGACAAGAGTGCAGGAGGACAGTCTCACGTGTGGCGTGCACAGACACACCTATGCRTGTGCACATCTGAGTGGCTGAGTGCCTGCAAATGGCACGTGAACTTGTTCAAACAGACAACACACATTTATTCAATCATCCCCAAAATCAAGTGCTGAAGAACAAACATACATATGTGTGTATTCCATAGGATTTATGAAAACGCACACATATGCACACCCTTCCTTTCTTATGTACATACACTTGTTATACTGCAAAATGTTTGCATGAGTGATGAACAAAGGCAAAACACCTTACGTTTCCACATTTCTTCATGTTTGTAACCACACACATGGGAAGATGTACGTGTACCTGCAGTGCGCATACACACCGTGTCCATACCCATACACAGGCACATTCCTACAGCTATGCTTTTAAAAACACGGTTGTACTCATGTACACAAATGCATATGTGCCTGAGAAATKATACTGTCAGGAAAACTGTCAAATGCACTGTCTTTTGAATTCTTTGGATTCTAAGAACTGTTTGTGCCCACCAAACCTGTCACCCAGCTTTCTCTAATAGGGCCAAGAGGGAATTCAGGTCCTAYTCTTCACCTCTTTATTTTGTGAGGCCTTTATCTTAAGCAGAAAATGAATCACTCCATCTGTGACAGACAAATGGGAGAAAGCAAACCACCTGCTGCCATTCTGCCATGTCACTAGGACACCCCTCCTAACTGTCTTCATACTGGAAGTCTGTCATTCTGCCATGTCCACATAAAGGCTGTTTCCATGCAYAYTGRTGTGGCATACTCTCTTCCTACATTYGTTAATAATAAGCCAGGGCTGAAATACCAGATTCTTAGACTCTTCCCTATTCCCACATAAGCCAAGGCCAAGGAACTCTCTGTGCCAGAGGTGCAGTGGGCAGAAAATTCAGTTACACCCAATTTAATAGGTGAACAMTGTCCCTTTTAAAAAGTGTAGGAATAATAGGAATGGAATGTTGCATGGTGTGAAATTCCAACACCTTCCACAACTCACAAAATCAAATTTGCACTGAAACACTTCACAGAATCTGGAAGTAAAGGCTAAGCAAGCCCCAGCCTCTCACAGGTAGTGGGATATGCATGTACCTGCAACAACCACACAGGCTTGCAGAAAAAAAGCAACAAACATCCCCAAACAATTTGGGTCTCAACCAGTTCTTCAACAATCTATCACAGAAATGAGATTTTTGTCTCCATTAAACTTGCCAAGAAAGGACAATGGCAACCTTCTTGGTCCATTTGTGCTAGAAAACATGGAACTCATTCACACCCAGATTTGGACCCAAGGAGCCAGAAATTGTACCTGAAAAAATAGAATGAAAAATGACAGGGAAATGGAAATGAAAAAAGGGAAAACATTCAACCCATTATCTGAAGGGAAGRCATGGCAGAAGAAACAGAGAAACTCTCTGAGTACCAAGGGAGCACTGGTGTGAACTGAGCTCAAGGCAGTAGACATCACTGCTGGGTCCCAAACTAGAAACACTTAAGTTAAGAATAGGGGAGGGGAACTGTCTCCTGTGAGTTAGACCATCAGCTTTTAGAAAATGTTATCCTTTAATGCTCTCTGGAAACTACTTAGTGACTAAAGYGTACTTTAATTATCCAACAGGGGCAATTTTTCAGGTTATATCCACCCTAGTACTTGAAGGCWRGRCATTATTTTGGGCTGCTTCCTGRAGAACCTCCTGGGAGGTGCTAYRGAATGTGCATTTTGACYRGTGCTGGGCAAGGCCTCCAAGACACATATGCACTACTGCTCACATGCTGCACTCACACACATGCCTTCTGTGTTCAACTTTTTTCAATTGYAATGTATTAATACTCTCAAGATTGGTTTCCTTTCCAGATGCATTCCAGATACAAGCACTCCCAAGTCTGGCTTGCTGATCCAAGGTATATAACCTGGACAGAGCAGGGCTCCTGAAGAACTGAGCTTAGAGAGTCACGTTTTACCTATAACTGGATTCCATGACACCATCAGAACACTGCCTGAAGCTGTATCTATAATAGATAAAGATACTTTGCAAAAGGCAGCCCACACAGATGACTGCACCCTATGTGTGTGTGGATAATGCTCAACACTCAAGACTGATGAGGCCTTAAATCTTGCAAAAAAGAAACTAGCTAACTTCCTTGAAATGCAATGTACAAGATAGGCATCTTTCAAAAAGRAAGTTCCATACAAAAATCCCTCTAATTTTATGAAATTACTTCCTGTGCATATTTATTTACTTTATATGTAAAAACACTTGGAACAACTGCAAGTTTTATGACCACTCTTCTGAGTTACCACAGTACAAGTATTCACAAACCAAAGTTTTTTCCACTTGTGTAATTTACAAACTATTTTGTTAGCTAGTCAGAAATTAGAGCAACTATACAGAACAGGCAACAAATAATACAATAATACAAATAAATAATACAGAAGAGAACTGTTCATTAATTCTAAAGGCTAAACACACTCGACAGATTTATGGAGACTTATGTCCGCAAAACCAGACATTATTAAAGGCTGGTTTGTTCAAAACCATCCACAAACAAACAAAAAACCAAACAAAAATCTACCAATATTTTTCCTGCTTAAAAAACTGACAATACACATCTTCTACTCTGTCTCATTTCATCTTAAAGGTCTTACCCACTGCTAAACAGGCATCATCTTTGCTTCCTCAAATTGTCTTTGTGTGCTTTCTTTCCAGAACACTCACCTCCTAGCTCGGTTCTGAGTGGCTTGCTGCTGTTGCTGCACCTGCTGCTGCACCTGCTGCTGTTGGACTTGCTGCGGTGCAGTGCGTTTTCTTGTTGTTTCCATCACACTCTGGGGCATCCCAGGTCGCACAGAGGGGCTTCCAACATATGGGGGGCCTGGAGGACCCATGGGAGCCCCCTGATGGGGCATTCGAGCTCCTGATGGCATCCCAGGGCGCTGGAGGAAAAGCAAAACAGAARGAAAAGCCAGTTTGCTTCCAGTTTCTCCAGCTACCAGGATGTTTGTACATCATGCGACAGATTCTCYGTTTTGACCATCCTGATAAGCACTAAGCAGTAACATAAAGCACGTGACACGAGCTGTSACTGGTGTATCTTGGATGTCATGAAGAAGCATTCAGGAATAAAGTAGACAGCAAACAGGGAGGAAAAGTACAAGGCTTGGGAAAACACTCAGTGGTCAGTAGCATATCCAGACCAGGTTACAGCTGGAAGCTCTACCTTCAGCCTGAAGAGAACATGCCAGGGCAGCGACACACAGTCCAAACTGATGCAGCTCACATGCTGCTCAGAGCTACRAGCACACTCCCAACTTCCGTGAGCTGCACTGCTGAACAGGCAGCTCCCATCAGCTGGGAGACAGAAACCAGCAMAGGCAAAACACCAGGATAAACATTTTCCATTAAGAGCCTTCTACTTCACCAGAGAACTTACACCAGAGAACAGTGTAAGTTTGTAACAAAACACAAGTCCTTTAAGAAGAAGATCATGTCTCTGATCAAGCCTTTAAAATAATTTTTTTTTTAAAGTTAAATGGACGTGGTAGTTTGTCAACAGCCCCTGTAGGCATTCTAAAGCCCTGGCCTTTATGCTGACTTCTGCATGCTCTTGAGAGATACTTTGGGTCAAATCACAAGCTTAATGCTGCACAAGATACACAGTGAACCCAATTCTGAATCCTGGARGTTTATGGTCATCAAGAAAAACCACCAGTAAAATAATTATTCAAAACACAGAGATGAGCTTAGTCTCATACTGAGAATTACCAGTATGTATATGCAAAAACACAGACACACACACTCTAGGCATTTGAACCAGGATGAGAACCATATAACAAAAGTCCTTTGAAAGTCAAGTCCCTCTACAAAGTCCTTTAAGGAAACCAAGAGGCAAAGGCATCCATTATGGATAAACAATTGGTTAAAGAATAGAAATGAGGCAAAAGTAATTKGTTCTGAAAATAAAAGGAAGGCACATGTAAAATTCTGCTGGGACTTCTTTTCAGCATATTTAAAATGACCTGGGGGAAAAAAAGAACCAAGAAGAGACAGGAAAAAAAGCAAGGAAGTGAAAAAGTTTGTTGGTAATGCTAAGTTATTCATGCTGGCAAGGATGAAGGCCAGCTTCAAGAACTGCAGAAGGACTTTATGAAACAGAATGAACACTTARAAGGAAGATGAAAATGTATTTCAATACATACTGAAGTGAACTACAAAAGGGGAAAAAACAATCCAAGAATCACAAAGCAATGGGCCCTAAGCTGATTGCTGTCCAGCAGAAGCAAGATCTTCTTTAAACAAGCAGAAAAATTCCAGAAAAAAAAGGATTCACTGGTTACTAGAGGTCAAAAAAACCATTAAGGAAAAGAAATAAGAGTGGAGGGAATAGAGGGTATCAGTGGCCATTGGCCATGGTGTGACCACAAGTGAAAACYTGTGTGCAGCTCTGGCTCCTGCAGYGTAGTGATGGCAGAGCAAAGCTGAAACAAGGACAAAGAAAAGCACAGAAATTCTTAACATATGGAACCGTATCCAAAGAAGTAAAAGGAAATATATTGTGACTTTTCTTCTGGAAAGAGGTGATCCAAGATAATCTAAAAGGGCATTTGCCAGAGCKCTGCAGAATCAGGCATGRCCYGGGGAGGGCCRTTGGGTATTGACTGTTCACTGCCCCTGCCAGAGTAGTGAACCCTGGCCATCAGTGGAAGGGTAAGGCTCACAGACTACTGAAGGGGTGAGTTTGTCACACCATGGATATCAGCCCATGGAACCCTCTTCCAAATGGGTGTTGGAAAACCATGGAAGACATGCTTGGGTCAATAGTTGCAGACTGAGAAACACACTACTGGACCCCAAAGTGAGATGTGTGCACCCCTGAGGGTATGCAAACCAGTTCATTGGGGGTGGGAAAAAATATTTTGTGCAATAATATAAAAGTTTTTATTTCATATTTATCTCATAATATTTATGATTTCTAKATATAAAATTAAGCATAATAATAAAACATAATTCTAAATACAATTTAGACCTGCATCTCCAAATTAACCACCCAAATCCACTGCAGCTCTCAAGGCTCCARYTCAATACCCYGATCATCACAAGTCTTTGATATTCYTTGCACTTGTATCTATAAAAGAAACCAGAGAAAGGAGAGGAATGGATGATCAGCAAAGAACCAATATGGGCTATAACTGGTACAGACAGAGAAGCAAGGYAGGAGGTAGGAGAGTGACCAGTGCAGGAATCCCAGCAGGTGAATTCAGCAAGTGTCGATGTAAGAAACTAATGGCAGGTATGGTCATGGAGAGAGCAGCAGGCAGCAGAGAGACAAAACTGCAGCTTTGTGCAAAGCTCCAAATGTCTTCTGCCATGAGCCTGAAGCCCTGAGAACAGCTGGAAAGGAACAGTGCTCTCTGTTCCCATGCACGTGCTCCCACCCTCTGACCCAGCCAGTCAGCAGAAAGAAATGGCCCAGAAAATGCTTCTCTCTTGAGTCTGCATTTAAGATCTGTCATCTGTCAAGCCACACATTGTGGCCTTCTTCCAGCAAAGGGCAGACCATTGGGCCAGCTGCTGCCTGTCAGTCAGATGGGGACATCTGACAGTCATTCAGAAAAGCCTGGATCCTGAGCACAGCCATCTTACGGAGACTCACGGATAAAGCTGAAGGCCCATTTTGGTACTGTTCTAAAGGACACCTTARGGCTTGAAAAACAAGACTGGCAAGCTAAATCTACTCTCACTCTTGGTCTAATGTCTTTGAACTTCCTTCAGCTTCCTTTGTTAAGCACTAAAATAGAGAAACATAAAGGACAAACATGAGAAAAGAGAGACAGATCTAGTGAAAGCCCATTCAATCTCATCCCTTGACTGTCTCATTCCYTTGCCTCTGGTTCTCACATTCCTATCTCCAATATCACTCATAGATAAAATATTACCATGCAACTGTGCAACTGCCTTCCTGCTGCGAGCCCACCAGACTCCCATGATTCAGAAATGCTTTATCTATCTAAACTTTTATAAAAGAAGAACATACAAGCAGTGCCTCATCTTATCTAAAAGCTTATTTTGCTCTCAAGTGCACGTGTAAGACAAGACAGTGATGGACAATACAMTGAATTTTTGACAACAGTGGCATTAAAAAAAAAAAAAAAGTCTTCATACTAGAAAGTATTCCAATACCATTGTGGCTTTTGAAAGAGATCTTGAAGGTGCATCTGCCTACTGGTTAGGATCTGTCTGTCCCCCTCTTCCCCTGCAGGATGGAATCTGTCTTAAACAAGAAGCATCCACGAGAAAGGCTGCAGTGCAAAACAGCACTGACACACCCTCCTTCCWGGGAAATCATGAGACCTCCATCTGTATCCACAGTCCTATCTCCTTAGCTCCACCAATTCCATTTACATGTATTATTCTGCACAAACRCATCACTGGACAGAGGGCAAAACCACTACAGGCCACAGGAAAAGAGGAAGACCACAGCCTGCTCCCAGCTGAAGGGAAAGCTCACAGCTCTGAGAAGGTGAAGCAGAGAGCAGAGCAGAGGTGCCTGCAGAGTAGCAAGGCAAAGACAGTACAGCACACAGAGGTATACAACCAGTAATTCATACACGTGTATTGGTCCCCAAGAGTTCTGCCAATTGCCTGTACTGAAGTGCACAGCCCRTCACTGCTCTGGCTACACCTGTTCAAACCTGAGCATACTGTCAGTGTGGCAGGATACCACCTCCCTGATACCTGATGCCAGTATCCCATCACTGCCTTCCACTGACCAGTCTCTAGAGCCACATTTGGCTTGTCTACGTTCTTCCTTGCCTGAACTTCCYGTCACATCAGAGYTCTGCCTCTATCTTCTTTGTCATCMTTAAGCGAACTTCTGTCTGACAGCAGTAACAAGACAACATTAGAGCAGTGCTTTTCTACATTCTTCTACTGCAGTCTTTTCTCAGGGGATGTACATCATAGYACTCAAAACACAGAAGCAGAAAAAAAGTGGTTTCCTGCCTGGACATACCAGCAAGAGGAAAAGAATATGGAGAACTGACAGGTGAAAGTAAAAAAAAAGTGTCAAAAAAAGAAAAACAAAAACACCCACAAGAAGCCTCAGAAAGAGATTGAACAGAGAAATAGGAGTTGCTGCATTGCAGTTGAGTGCTGAGCTGTACCTACAGCAATCCCCTGTCCTGACAGACTCCATCCACCTCAGCACTACACAGGAGGCTCTTACGGCTCATGGGGAACAGCCACCAGCTTCTTGTTAACAGAGACACTGACAGATTTTGAGAATAACCACCACCACCAAGTATACAAATGGCATATTTTTTAGTTAAAAAGGAGCCCAAAAGAAAGATGGAGAGAGACTATTTACAAGGGCCGGAAGTGACAGAACAAAAGGGAAGGGCTTCACACTGACAGACAGGTTTAGATTAGAAGAAAATTCTTTACTATGAGGCTGGTGAGGCCCAGGTGGTCCAAAGAAGTTGTGGCTGCCCCATCCCTAGAAGTGTTCAAAGTCAGGTTGGAGGGARCTTGGAGCAATCTGGTCTAGTGAAAGGTGTCCCTGCCCATGAYAGAARGGAGGGACAAAACRATCTTTAAGKTCCCTTCCAATCCAAACCATTCCATGATTTATACCGGGCACAAACATAAGCAAGAGGAGACACCTGATGCTGTATAGAGGCAAAAATGGGTAACTAGAAGTAGCTGGAATCCCTAAAAAATTGAGACTAGATTGATATTGACCAATGGCAATAAGTTTCTGACCACACAAATGGTTTCCCAACCAGAGGTGTTGTTTCAGAATGGACTCTTAGAAGTAAAACAAATAAAACTTGCACAAGGCTTCTCTCCTCCTTACAATTATACATTACTTCATGAGTTCCCTTTTTTAATGTCTGTGAATATTTTAGAGGCTTAGTAAGCTGAAACATCAGTATTG